TAATTGTTATTTATGGAAAGTATCTAAATTTGCTAATTTGGCATATCTACTAAATGTAAAGATTGTCCTAAATGCAATAATGTTTGTCTCATGTCCAAATTCACAATTTAATGCCATTCCATAGTTAGTAAGTTTTGAGTTAGTCCCAAAAACTAACTCTTGGTACTAAGGATGGGTAAGGAAAGCATGCATTCTTTAGGGGGGATATAAGGGGTTTTAAATGTATAGTAGGGATAGTGGGTAGGTTGGGCATGGTTGACCAACCTAAAGCATAGTTTAGCTCCCACTGGGATGCAATCCCAGTCCGCTAAAAGAGGTGTCCTTATTATGAATCCAACTTGGGTCTAAACCTAAATTCTATACCATCCTAACTGGTGGAGTACCCATATCCTTGTGTTAGGCTACCAGTATGCTGAAATAGCATTAGACTCTATTTAGCTCCATTTTGTGTGTTAGTCTTGGCATTGGGATGCTAGATTCTCTAGGAATGGTCCAAGTTGCTCTATGCTTTTGTTCTTTCGCTCCTTGAGTTGAACGCTCAAGAGACACTCCATGCTTCGGTTCTTTCACTCCTTTGCTCCATGCTTAGGAATTTGGCTCCATTCCATCATTCAGTGGCCTAAGGCCCTAAAACTCATGTTTTGCACCACTGTCTTTTGGACACGTGGTATGTGACATGTGGCATATGGAGGGTTTAGGTTCCGTTTCATGGTTATCCTATGGTAAATCCATAGGATAAAGGGTGAAAACCACGTGCGCTACAAAGTTGGTAAAAAAAGTGGCCATTGCACTTTTTTAGAAATGTGATCCTTGTGCCTTTTTTCTGGAATGTTATGCTAGGTGGCAACATTTCGTTACACTTTATGGAGTAGTGAGTTCTCACTTATTTTGACTTGGAAGAAATTTCTTCTCTTAGCGCAACAGAAGAAAGAAAGTTTCCTCTCTCAGCGCAATTGGAAGAAACCTCGAGGTCTTGGTAGTTTTATGCCTTAGTTGAGGATGGTGATATCCAACTTTGTTGTTTATGGTTAAGGTGTTAGTACCTATATTATAGCTTTGTCTATTAAAAAGTTGTGTACCATATAAGTCCATTTCATAGTTTTCACTTTAGTTTCGATTAAGTGTTGATCATATATAGCTAGCCTCTTCAATGCATGCTCAAAACTATTGGCTAGATGTGTTGGTGAGCTTATTGCAGTTTGATTGGATTTGAGTGGTCATTTAATCTATGCTTGTCTATGTTCCTATATTTCATATATGAGGTGTTATCTTTTTGTTAGACAAGTATATGACTCAATAATGTAAGTTTAGTTTTTGGGTCTTGTGAAGGCAAGTTGCTTTGCAACTAGTGGTTACTTATAGACTTCGTTAAGGACTATTGACATTTATTTTGCTCAATGACGATTGAGCAGTGATAGACTTGCTTTATCAGAAGATACTGCAGAGGATCGTGTCGTTAAATTTACATAATTTTTTCCATGTTGGCATATTGATTTTATATCTGTCGATATCATTTGGTTGCATTTAATTTATAATGTTGGATTACATTGAGTCTTAGATGTGGTGAATCACTCTTTGATGGTGTGTTATTTATAACTAAGTATTGTTGAAGAATTGGTCTTAGATATTGACTAAGGTATCTTTGACTTTAGTTAGCTTGGTTGCTAAAGAGTTTTACTCTTACTTTCTATTAGCTTTATTCTAGTATTGATGGTATGAAGTGATACTTTGTTATTGATATTATTGATATTGTTAATATTGAGATTAGAGTGAGATGAGATGTCTCTTTGTAGGATTGATATTGAATTTCATTAGTCTTGATGCAAATAGTATTAATGCTTTGGCTGTAGCTTTGTGTTATTGGCATTTATGTATTGCTAGTTAGCAATTATATTAGTATTTAAACAAACTAAATGGTAAATTGAGTTAATTGTGTTCTAGATGAGATTGTTTAGTAAAGGTTGAGCTTTAGCTTTTCCTTGAGAAATGATTTAGTCATAGACTATACTAACTTTATGAGAAGAAGAGTTAGTGATCAATATTGAAAATGTTGATTCCTTGTTGGATTTGAGTTGAGATATATCGATCATTAATGATTCTTCTTATTCTTTGGCATTGCAGTTAGTTCATGTGAGATTCATGATTATTGTTATGCAAGACTTAGCTATAAGCTTGTTCAAGTTTTTGGTACTTTAATAAGTTTTATGCTTATTGTTCCATTTATTAGAAGTTATTGGGTTATGCTAACTTTACAAAAGGAAGAGTTAGTAATTGATATTGAAGATATTGGTTCCTTGTTAGATTTGAGTTGTGAATATATTAATCATTGATGATTCTTCTTGTACTGTTATAAAGTGAGTTACATCTTACTATGCATAGATGAGAGGAATCATTAACAACTCTTTGAAATCTGTAAACGCTTGCTCATAATCCTTAGATTAGATGAAAGACAACATTAACAACTTCATGGAGGATTAATTTGGTGGTCACTTGTTGAGTATAATTTTATTGTACTTAGCTTTTAGATTGATGTAAAAATGCTCTTCATTAGCTTTACATTATGAAGTTTAACTTATGAATGTGTTAAGAAAAATATTGTGAGTTGTCCATGATTTCAGTGAATTATTGAAGTTAGTTTATGCGAGACTCATGATCATTGTTAGGCAAGACTTAGCTATATGCTTCTTTGAACTTTTGGTTTCTTGAGTTGTCAAGCTTATTATTTTATTTATTAGGAGTTGTTAGGGAAAACATTTTGCTCATTAGCTTTGATGTTGAAGTTAATATTTGTATCTAGCAATCATTTGTGATGATTAATTGTCGTCTAAGATAATTAATGATCCTTTCTAAAGGTTTTGCTTGATTATTGTTGATATGGAATAATTTACTATTCTTCGGGATGGTAAATTCTTTCTTCAATGATGATTATACATTTTTTTATTAATAAAATGATTGATGATCTTTGATGATAGTTAATTGTTCTCTTTGATGGCTTATGACTTTTCACATTACTACATGTTTTTTTTTTGTAGTTTTTTCTAAATTGGTCTCTTGGGTTTAAGATATGAATAGAATATTGCTGAAACTTGTTTAAACAATTTGAGTTCTTTTGTATTGTTGACCAAGATTTATTCATATTGGCTAATGTGATAGTTGGGATGAACGTTATAGTTGTTGGTGTTGCAATATTCATCCTGTTTTACTGATTATTGCTATAGTTGGTTTTGATAAATTGGATGTTATTTCCTTTAAGTGATATATTTGCAAGCATTTTCCTTATTTGTCAATGATATTTTGTGTTCTTTTAGTTGTCCTTTGTAAGTTATTTAGCATGTTATTTGTAATCTTTGATGATTAAGCTTTATCATTGAGTTTTTTTATGATATACTTGCTATTGAATTTTGTTGGATGGTTAATTTTATGACTTTCACCTATAATGATCTCAGTGGTTCCTATACTTTAATACTGGTTTATCGGATGATAACTTACTTAGAATACTTTTGTGTTCTAATCTAAGATTTATTTACCGATAATTAAGTCTCTAAAAATGACTTTAATATTATACATCTCTTGATCTTTAGGTTTGGGCCAATATAAGTAGATTGGCTTTGGCATTTCATATGCATGGTGAAATCTTTAATCATGGGATAGCTAATATCAATTAATCATATCAACTGCCTCTCTCTTGATGTTCCTTATTTCATTTAAAAGGGTGTGACTATGTAAACAACTTTAACTACCTATTTACAATAGTTTATTTAAACTTTATTGACAGGTTTGGTTTATTTGCTCAAAAATTATCTTCTCTCTCTATATTACTTGCAAGCAGGGGTATATCATTTTTTGTAATTTGAGTGACACCCAGAGTAGTAGAGGTGGCTAACTCCATTGATCATTTCCTTGTCAACGATGGTCGGAAGGTATCTGAGTTATAGTGCATTTACGTTAGATAGAAACTCATTTAAATTAGTGCAATTCTCACAAAGTGTGAACACCATGAACTTTTTCTAAAGTTACTTTCTTGGTAGTGGTCTAGACTAGAGTATACATTGATAAGGATCTTAAGGGGGGGAGAGTGTCGCAAATATGACTATAGGTATCAAAAATTACTTGTCAACTAGTCCTTTCAGATATTCTTTCTTTGTTGGAGGCCACTGCTGTTCGCTAGCAGCATCAGGATGGCAACGTCATTGACGACAGTGGCTCTCAACATTGTGTTCTTCGACAGTGCCATGGATCTAAGCCAGTATTGCCACCTTCCAGTCCCTAAACTCCGAGGTGTTTCCTCTCAAGCTCCAAGCTCAAGCCATGAGCCTAGGACTGCTCGTCAACCGGCTGGTTAGCGGCACATTCCTTGCTGCCCAAGCTGCCCACCACTTTCTTCATGGCTACCCTCCACTTCCAAGTGCCCATGAGGAGCACTCCCTACATCCTCGTACTTGAAAGATTGGTCTCCCGCCACCACTGTGGATGAAGAAAGCTCCACAAGCTCTGGTGATCCAGCGAGCATCCCCTCCCACTCAAACATCCCAGCAATCTCCTCCAAACTCTTCCCCTTGGTCTCGGGCAGAAAGTAGATGAACACCACTGATGCTCCTGTGATGCCTGTGAAGAGGGCCAGTGACAGTGCCTTGGAGATGCTCAAAAACGTAAGCCCGATGGAGTCAAGTTGGTTGCTGCTAAACAGGGCAATGTTTGAACCAAGTGTTTAACTGTGGGTATTTTATTTTAACTAAACTGTTAAAAGAAATCCAAATCTATCACTATCACCTAAAGTGCCAAAAAGTCTTGTGTTGATAAATCGTGCTTCTTTTTTCAACTCGGCCAAGAAGCCAGAAAGTATCACGTAAAGTGCCAAAAGTCTTGTGCTTCTTTTTTGGCCACGAAGCCAAGAAGTATCACCTACAGTGCCAAAAAGTCTTGTGTTGATACATCGTGCTCCTTTTTTCAACTCGGCCAAGAAGCCAAAGAACGGAAGGAATGACAACGAACACAGGTGATTGTGTGCAATTGAAGAAATATAATATCTGATCCGCACGTGTACATAAAAAATGTTCCCCTGTTATACGTAATCCCCGGTTTTATTGAAATTGCATGAAAGCTGATGAGCAGAGACGACACACATGTAGACATAGCATTTCATTTCATGCTCGCTTCTTGAGCTCGGTGCAAGGATAGACCGAAGAGGTACCGCTGATGGACACATCCCCAAGCTTGAACGAATCGTAGTGGAGGAAGAAATCCGCAAACAAGATCCTGGTAACCAACACCACAAAGTTTTTCCCGGGGCACTGCTTATTGTCCACGCTGGGCGAGCCCGTCTCGGGGCCATTCGACCAGAAAACATGCTCCAGCAGGCGCTGCCCCTCCTCCCCCATGAACCTTCGAGGCTTGAACTTCTCGGGCTCCTCAAACACCACCGGGTCGCGCGTCACCAGCGGCTGGTACCCGTACAGCATCTCCCCGGCCTTGATCTTGAACGCCTCGACGTGCGTCTCAAGGACAAAGTCCACCTTGGCCCTGCCGTACTGCGACTGTACCGGGGGCTCGATCCGCAGCACCTCGTACACCGTGGACTGCAGCAGCGGCATACCGCCCAGCGCCGCGGCGTCCAGGCCGCCGCCGCCCACGGCACGCCGCACCTCCTCCCGCAGCTCCGCCTGCAGGTCAAACTCGTTAAAGTCGCTCACATGCTTGAACAGCGCGGGCCACAGAATGGTCAGCCCCCCGAAGGTGTTGAAACAGATGAAGAAGATGAGATTGTGCAGGGCCTCGTCGGGGTCGATACCGTGCGGTACCGCGAGCGACACCGCGCGCTCCCCGTTGGCCTTAAAGAAGCGCACGATCTTCTGGTACTCGGGCGCCACAATGATGAAGGGTATGGGCGCGGTGTGGAGCAGCGGCTCCTGGATCACGGCGGGCAGGCCCGCGTTGAGCACCGGGGCGATCTGCGGCGCGGTCCACAGCTTGATCCCGGTCTCGGTGAGCGCATTCCCCTCGGTTGCATCCTTGTCCAGCACCGTCTTGGTCAGGAATCGGAGCGCGATCTTCCCCAGCACAGGGTTGAGCTCCAGGGGATCATCCGGGAACAGCCCCGAGACAATCCCCCCCAGCAGCCCCCCGGACTTCTTCGGCTTGTTGCGCTCGGCGTCCCACTCGGCGTATCCGGCGGCCGCTGCCGCGCGGAGCTCCGGGATCCAACGGTCGTGGTTGCTGCTGAGGATGTCCATGCAATACGACTTGAGCTGCGCATGCTTGGGCTCCTCCTGTCCGAGATAGGGCAGCACGCGGTAGCCGCCCGTGAATCCGGTGCTCGGGACGTAGGTGCCGGTGAACACATCCTTCTTGCTCACCTTGGTGAGATCGAACAGGACAGGGAAGCTCTTCTGATCCAGCAGCGCAATGACTTTGGAATCGGGGAAGAATGGTGGCCCGGGGGGCATGTTGACGCGGAAGACGGTGCTCCCGTACTCGTCCCTCCGCTTCTCGAAGAAATTCTTGCCGTAGAAACGGTCCAGCCGATCCAGCACGGCGCCGAGTATGGGTGCGCCATACTCACCGGGCACCTCGCGCTTCACCTCCAGGTTCCTGTCGTTGCTCATCACTGCAATTGATGCAAAGAAGTGAAGTATGAGCTGCTAAGAACACACTACTTGAGTACAAGGTGTGCTTGTGTTGGGCACAAGCTCGGGGCTTTTAAACAAAGTGGTCCTCCTCTAGCATGACGAACGTGCGTGCAAACGACAGATATGACCAAGCTTAAAAAGAAATTGGAAACAGAATGAGAATGCTGTAAAGTAAGACAGCTGCTTCTTCAGCTACTTGGTGGGATGTTAACTAGATACGGACAACTTTTAAACTATGTGTTTGTCCAGTCCTTCATCCTTATTGATAGGCCTTAGATTCATTCATTCATTCATTAGCTGTTTACAAGGTCTTGTGGCACCCACCAAAAAGCATGAGATTGACAAATTGATCTCGTGAGCCGTTTGCTGAACTCCTCTACCAGTTTACTCGTGTGAGCTCACGTTCAATACCCAGTTCAAGTCACTGCTTTCTTTGAACAAGGACCTAAAACTTATCTTCAACATGATGGCTTTGTTGTTGTTCTGCCTCCTCAAGCATGAAGAGCTTGAGGAGGTCCAAACGAGAGAGATCAAACATAGGGACCAAGCTTAAAAGCCAAAATGAAAACAGATAACAGCAATATAAAATACAGGTTAGGTCCCTCTTGCATCATGATTTTGGTAGGATGTCACAGTACAATTTATCCAGCATGCAAAGAATAAGGGTAAAAATATAATCAAATGCTCCAACTTTTTAAGTTGCACAAATCGTTTTTGGAATTTATTTTGTTCCTCATTATTCTATTTTATAAAGGAGTGATTGATTTTTTTTGGTATATGTCATATAACCCATCTAAATCTGTAGAGTATTCATTTTAATTGATTGTTCTAGGGCTTTTTATTTTTCCTGCAAGTTAAGCAAACGGTACATTGGTAATGTTCGATTAAATCTAAATGTTTTTTGGCTGATTGAGATAGTGTATCTTTGTCATTCCTTAGAGTTTAGGGTTTTTAACTCAGCACTTGTGCTTTTCGGGTATACATGCTAAATGTATGTCCGTACTAGATGGATCCAAAATTGCAATTATAATGGATGGATCAATGCAAAATAAATATTGACGGAAGCTATTGCCATTGTTTTCTTTCAGCCAATGGAGTCCAAAAGCCTGCCTGCTAAAACTCTGCCGACTAAAGATATCAAGTTTAGCAAGCCTGCCAGAACCTCTTCCTGTAGCTCATGAATTTTCAGATCCTCCTTTATGAACAAGATTGCTAGGAAGCAAATCGGTGCTGTTGCCTACATCGAGTGTAGCTCGAAAACCCAGCAGGTCGTCTTGTGACAAAGGAGTGAAGCTTTTTGCTGCTGTGTTGTTTGTTCTAAACCTCTTCCAAATTTCTTTGTGCTCCAGAATGTAAAGGCAGTGTTTGATGCTGCGATCAAGGTGGTCCTCCAACCTCCAAAGCAGAAGAAAAAAAAGAAGCAAAAAGGCCTCTACGCCGCTCATGATACCAATGTCTGGAAGACACAAAGTTAAAACTCAATGCTAAGTAAAGAATACCATATCCAAGTAGCACAGAATTCGGAGATGCCAAAAGGGCGCACCAAACAACGTATCGATAAAAATGCTCCCTGCTTCTGTGCTGATACGTGCTTATCTGCTTCGAGCCATCGTTCACCAGAAGGCCTGTATCCTGTGTAAACCCTCTTGAATCTGTTCTGCTCAAGCCTTCCATTTTTCTGATGAGTGTGAGAGAGATCTAAACTCTCCATGGAGAAAATAACCAGACAGATCTATGTCCTACTATCAGTCGCTGGGCATACCTCACGGCCAAGAGATCCAGTAATTGCATCTTCGTCGCTGCTTAAGAAACTAGATGAGAAACGAAAATTGAAAGACATAAGTATACCCACAGAGTGGCTGATCAAGGTTATTACTGTTCACACCCACAGAGATGATGACTGCTGAGTTATGCTGTGTGAAATTTAATCATACAACAATAAATTTACTAATATGTTTAACTAACAACTCTGAGCATGCTTTGAAAAGGCTAACTATACATGATTAACACTCAATTGTAACTAAAGTGAAGTCCATAAGATGCTCTCAACTCAAGTGGAGTAATGCCCCACTTTAGTACCTTGTGGCTCATTCATCCTCATCCCTTCTTAAGGGCTTGGGCCTACCCTTTATGATGGAAGTGGGGGAGTAGGGGCACCCATACTGGGCCGTTAAGCTTCGGTGTTTCCCTTTAGTGTCCCGAAACAAGTGTTGCACTTAATGCTTGTGTTTGTGCTTATGGAGAGTGTAGCTGAACCTTAAGTTCAATTTAACCCAGGAAGGGGGATTGGAAGAAAATTTGGGAATCTGTGGATGGATAGTTAATGCTCTGTTTCTCATATAATGAGTTGTTGAAACCAAGTAAGAGCTGGTACAATAAGTGGGAACCTTGGCGAGGGAACTTAACTAAGGCTAAAGTAGTGGTAGTTAAATAAATAAGGTAAGCTGACAAATTGAAAAGAAAAAATTTATGGCTTACAAACTGCAACTCAAGCTCAAGATTGCCCACACATGCAACCAGGTCCACCTCATCTCTTGCACATGCATATGTACAACTGTTACCATAAAGAATGAAAACTAGCTTTACCGTATGATACAAATGTAAATAACAATGTATGGTAATAGGTCAAACAATAGAAGATAAATACAAGCTTGTATCAACAAATACGGAGAGAAGAATAGAAAACCTTTTATTATAAAAACGAGCTTGGAAACAAAATTTCCCACATAGTGTGCTTTCTATTAACTTTTGGAGTTATTTCCTTGACAGTTTGCTAGACTCGAGTATGCATTGACGAGGACGTTGATCTTCCTTAAGGGGGGGAGAGTGTCGCGAATGTGACTTTGGGTATTGAAAGATATTTGTCGGCCAATCTTTACAGACACTCTTCTTTACTACCATAATGCAAGAGGTTGGAACTGTTGATTTCCTTTATTAGCCCCTCTTGTCCAAGTGTTCGTAAATTAAATTTAGCATTTGTACTTAGCTGGATGAGCATAAAGAAAAAAAAGTGTTTATTTAGCCAAGTATATTTGGCCCGATTTGTTAATTCTCTTTTGCTCTGTCTTGCATTAGCATGGCAAGAACACATATTGAGACTAGTCCCTCAATATTGTTGGATGATAGCTTACCATATTTGCCAAACACCCTTGCTATCATGCCCTTTGTGTTAGTCTCGTTTTGTTCTATTGGCTAATTATGGACAGTGTTTAGATTTGTTAATTTGGCATATCTATAGAATGTAGAGATTGGCTTGAACACAATGGTGTTCATCCCGTGTCTAAATTCGCAATCTAGGAAAATTCCATATTTAGTAAGTTTCAAGCTTGTCCCAGAGACTAACTCTTGATACTAAGGGAGTCTTGGGGTGAAAGCCCAAAGCGTGTATTCCTCAAGGGGGGGGGGATAGTACTACATTTGGTATTAGAGAGATTGTCTCAGTGATTTCTATTCAACTTTTGTCAAATTTTTTGACTCAAGTTGCATATGTAGAGACTTTTCTAGTAAATTTGAAGCGACCTATGTAGGATTAGTAGGATTGCACCATTTGGTAAAACGTTGTATGCATGTTCAATTATTGATAGAGGCATGCATGCAGCTAGTGGGATGGTGAAAAGAAACCATGTTGATGATGCTGAAATCTTTAGACAGGTGAATCGAGAGGAGGAAACTCCTACTAGAGATGCTACAAAAGAGGTAGAGGCTGAGTCAAAAGAGGAAGAGCTAGATACTACAGCACTGCAGTGTACGGCTTAGGAAGTTGAGATTGAGAATTTGTGAAGGGAGGAGAACAAGAAGAAGAAGAAAGAAGTTGAGGCAACTAAACCAGCAAAACCTAAGCAACTGGACTCCTCTTTAAGTTTTGAGGATGATGAAGTTTTGCAGTCGCCTCCAGTTGCACGAGTTTCAAAGTTCAAAGCTCTGAAACCACCCAATTTTATAAGCATGTGAGACTATAAGGTTTTGGAAGACTGGGTCTATGATATGGAAAATTATTTCATAGCGGCAGACATAGATGATTGTACAAAAGTTATGTGCAGGCAATCCTTTCTCACTAATCATGCCAAAATTTAGTGGCGCTAAGTGTGTGCTGAAAAGGGGCAGACTAGAAGTTAGACCAAGATGCAGTCTCGTACGGATGATCTTGGTTTGAGACTTTGTGTGGAGCTACAGTAGTTGAAGCAGTGAGGGGACCTTATGCATTACATTAATGTGTTTTTTCAAAAGTGCATTATGATTGTAAATATGAGTGATATGGAGTGTAAGGAGGCAACATAACAAGTTGCCTTTAATCACTCACTAATGGAATGATATCAGCAACCGTATGCTAGTCCTTTGGATAAGAATAAGAATTTTGGGAATAAACAAGGTGATCGGAAACAGAGGGTGGAAGGAAGGTTCCAGGAGGCTCACAAGCAATAGTTAACAAAGGTGGTGGTGGTTGGCAACCACCAGCAGTTTCTTTTAGTCCTAAGCCCTCGTTTCCTCCTCTTAGTGGGTACAAGTCGCAACAACTTGCGAAACCGACTCCTAGTGGAACAGGTAGTGTGGGTCATTGCTTCCATTATGGAGAGTCAAGACATAGGTCCTTGGAATGCCCCAACAAACATAACACAAGGTCCCGTGTTAATGTCATGAAGGAAGACAGTGGTGGTGAAGTTGAAGGGGTTGACAAGTTGGTCAGTGTAGACTATGAGGAAGAGGAGGTGAGTTACTTTCCTTAACATTTTCTCGCAGTCAATGCAAACATTTATCTGTTGATGTATCTGGTAGGCTTTGTTCACGGACACCGAATCTAAGTAATAATTGATACAAGAGCTATGTACAGCGTGATATTCGAAGACTTAGCTAAGTTGTTAGGATTGAATGCTGAGCAAATGTTGCCCATGCACTTTTGGTTTGTGGAAGGTGGGCAAGTAGCTTGGAAATTTGTGAGTGATGTTCCAATAAAAATATCCAAGTGGAAAGAAAAAGTGGACTTGGTAGTGTTGAAGATACTAGATTTTCAGATGATGTTTGGTATGGATTTCTTCAACAAATATAGTAAAGGGATTTATAGTGTTAGACAAAGTCGCATCACATTGAAGTCAGAAGAGCATCCCAATGTGTCCTTATAGTTGCAAAAGAGCTCCTCAAAGGATTGGGATGCTAAGTTCCTGACTGCGAGATCCACTCAAAAAGCAGCTAAGAAGGGATGTCGGACCTTTTGGGTTCAAGTGATGCAAGTTGAGGGTGTTAATGACTCAATTTGAATTGGTGATGGGGTTAATCTTGTACCAAAGAAGAAATTAGAGTTGTTGGTGAGGAATCAGGATGTCTTTCCGAAGGATTTGCCACTAGGGCTACCTCAAGTTGATTATCGGATTGAGGTCATTCTAGGTTCTAAACCACCTACAAAAGCTTTATATCGGTTGAATATCAAAGATATGGCTGAACTCAAGAAGCAACTCATAGAGCTTCTTAACAAAGGTTATATTTAACCAAGCAAGTCACTTTATGGAGTGCTGGTCTTTTTTGTTATGAAGAAGGATAGAATCATGAGGATGTGTATTGATTATCTGGCACTTAACAAGATCACAGTCAAAAACAATTATCCTTTGCCTCATATTGATGACTTGTTTGACCAACTCTTAAAGGCTAAGTATTTTATGCAACTTGATTTGCAGTCCAGGTATCATTAGATACGGGTAGCAGATAAGGATGTGGAGAAGACAGCCTTTAAGATTTGGTATGAATCTTATGAGTTCCTTGTCATGCCATTTGGGTTATGCAATACTCTGGCAACATTCAGCACTATGATGGATAGAATATTCAGAGATTATTTAGATACATTTATTATCTTATATATAAACGATGTTTTAGTCTTTAGTGAAATGTTGGAGGATCATTTGAAACACTTGGAGCTGGTGTTTCAGAAGTTGTGTGAACACAAACTGTATGTTAAGAAAAGTAAATACACTTTTGGACAATTGCATGTGAACTTTCTTGGACATATAGTTGGTGGTGGCGTAATTGAGGTGGATCCAAAGAAGGTGGAAGCAGTGAAGTCCTAGAAAGTTTTAACCACTGTATCAAATGTTCGTTCTTTGCTCATTTGGGTAAAATATTATTGTAAGTTGTTCGGCAATTTTGCAAGAATTGCTCTTTCGTTGACTGAGTTAATGAAGAATAGTATCTTGTTTCATTGGACACTAGCTTGTCAGCATGCTTTTGTACGGTTGAAGGAGATCTTGACTATGGTTTTTGTTCTTAGGATTTCGGATCTTGATAAACCCTTTGAGGTGCATTATGATGCATCTGGCTATGCTATTGGTGCCGTGTTGCAGCAAGATTGTGACAAAGCAGTTGGTGTTATGCTAAGGCGACATGGTTGTTGTGTTCTATTCCAAAATGTTGGATGAAACCCAA